CCGCCTGCCTCTGTCTCACGAGTGCTGGGATTAAAGGCGTGCACCACTACCACCTTAGACACTAATGTTTGCAAAAGTGATCAAAACTATTTTGCACACACATTATCATAGTTTTGTTCCTTCATACTAATGACAGCCATTCCAGACCAAATGTCTAGGACATGACTGGGGGGATGCCCATTTCAAGGCTTTCTTTTGCCAATCTCTACAGTCATGAAGACAAGGCTCCTGGAGTCATAAAATGTCTGAGCTGGGCTCAGGATCCCCCATCCCCCAAACCAACACTTTTCTCAGTTGTCCCTGAATCAACCATTGATTCCTATCCCCAAACACAATATCCAATTCTGGGGATGACCTATCCTTTTAAGTTACTAAGTCCTCAGATCACCCAAAATGAAAGTTTTCTAATATCACAGACATTTAAATATGTTTTTCTGTGTCTTGGTCACTCACAGTGAGCTGTTGAAACCAATCAACATGGGTTGAATTTTAAAAGTCATGAAACTGAAACCTAGCTCCGTGTCTGGGTTATTAATAAAGATTCCCTCTCTGGTTATTCTCATATGATGTCATTGATGGCACACAAAGTTCCAAATGTGCACGTGTACACACACATGTACACACAATGTACCTCCCTCCTTTTTCTCTTTGTGTAAGTCAATCCCTCGGTGAGACTCTACTCTCACAGCTCCATCTAAACTTACAACCTCCAAATGCTCCATTTCCAAATATGGCCACATTGAAAATTAGCATTGATGTGAATCCTGGGGTCGGGAGAGGCATAAACCTTCTACCTTGAAGTCTCGTCTGTTTCCAATCCCATCTTGTTTGCTCACATGATAATTTACTCAGCTCACTTGCTTAGAGTGCTTTGCTGTCGACTTCCAATATAAGTTAGTCTCTTCAACAACGTACTTTTTTCTCTTTGAATTAATCCTTCTGATTTCCAAAAGGAAATTTTGTCATGCATTTTTAATTTTTTGAGAATTTCATATGTAAGTGCCATATTGACACCATTTCCAGCCTCTCATTTCTCACCAACACTTTTCTATGACCACCCCTCAAATTTATGACCTCTTCTTTATTTTTGGTAAACGCATCCCCCTCTCCCCACACTTGATCCCATTTAGTGTTGCTTGTCTGTACGTGTTTTTAAGACTGAACTCTTGGGACTAAATAAGACTAGATAATCCAGCAGAGGGCTCATTCTTGGAGGAGAATGATTGACTCTCTCTCTGTCTGTCTCTTTGTCTCTGTCTCTGTCTCTCTCTCTTGTCACGATTGTTCTTCATCTAGGACTGGGCCATCACTCTTCAGATCCATTGAATTTAAGTGCTAGCTATGTGACCCAAGCTAGTGGGAGCTCACTGATTCCAGACTGACAGCTGGGGAACCTGTATGGAACCCAACTCAGCCCTCTGAATGTGGGTGACAGTTGTGTGGCTTGGGCAGTTTGTGGGATCCGGTATTTGTTCCTGGTGAATGAACTGGCTCTTTGGAGCCCATTCCCTTGCTCCGCCTAGCTACAGTGGGGAGGGCCTTGGTCTTGCCTCAAGTGGTGGTGACAGACTTTGTTCACTCTCCATGGGAGGGCTCACCCTCTCTGAGGAGTGGGTGGGAGGTGGGGGGAGCAGGAGGAGGGAAGGGAGAGGGAACTGGGATTGGTATGCAAAATAAAAAAAAGATTGTTAAAAAATAAAAGTGTTAGCTATGAATTACTAGCAGGGCATAGAATATACTAGGCAGGGGATGATAAATTCTTAAATCTTTTTTTTTTTTGTAGAAAATATTTACCTTTACTTTGGTAAAAGAAATCCTTAAGTATCTAGATCATGTGATAGGAAGACATACTTTGTGCCATTTTGTAGGTATTTCATGCTATTTCAACTGCAGGGTGAAGAGTGAAGCTAGCTTAGTCTAAAATTAGTGAACTTTCCCTCTACAACTTTCCTCAAAGCATTTACAAACCAAACCAAACCAAACCAAACCAAACCAAACCAAACCAAACCAAATCAAAACTTAAAGTCAAAAGTGTGTGGTCACACCAATGAGGGATTTCAGAACTGTAACTGATGTTAAATATGGCCGGAGTCAAAGGCTCTGATGACGCCATTGACTTCTCGACAGTGGTAGGTTACACATGGTAAAAGGATGCATAAGAGAATACCCTGACATGGTACCCTACCTGCCCTTTAGCTACAGTAAGAAGATGTGCTCTTCCAACGATCCTTCAAGAAGGGAGGATCCTGGCTCTACCTCCATGGCTCATCCAGTCTAAATCAGAGGGTTCGTTAGCCTGATCAGTGTTGAGTCACTTCTTACTCCAACTAATTCTTTCCACAGTAGATGTAGAGAGTGTGCTGCATTCTTTTTTAAATGGCTCCCTCCCACCTTTTACTAATTGGGCTGATATTGGCCACTTGCCTTTTCAAATAAAAAGAGTGTCACCAAAATGACCGGAAAACGGCTAATTATGCCCACAATGGGGAAATTATCCCCATGAGTAAATACTCCAAAGTATAAAATGAAATCCCAAACGCGATCACAAAGGAATCTCTCTTTAATAGTTATTCAGCCATCCAGCCGGAATACTCATTAGATAAGCAAGTCAGCACAGAGCAGCTGAGCTCCTTTGGCGTGTATCCTACACAATGTTAGTGAAGGATCTTCCACCCGCCTTTAGGTCAGATTAGAAGGCTTCATGTAGCCATCTTTTAAAAAAAACTTAGAATGTTATTTTTCTTATGATGCCACAATATACAAAAATTTTTGCTAGAGCTTTTGTTCCTACAAGCTCACTATTATTCATCCAAATGATTCATTTTCATTGTCAGAGTCAAACTTAAACTCTTAGACTATTAGTAATTGGAGACCCAAGAAAAATATTCCTAAGATATTAAAAACAAATAGACCAGAAACAGTGTCAGGAGATTGGTGTTAAGATGTTAGGGTTGTAGGTCTTTAAAAAGGTTTATTTACTTATCTTCTATTTATTTGCATGTATGTATGTCTGTGTGAGTGTATGTTTGGCACATGCATTCAGATGCCTGAGGAGACAAGACGGCCTTAGATACCCAGGAACTGGAGTAGCAGGTGATTGTGCACTGCCCGATGTGTTGCTGGTTTGATTTCTAGCACCCACATTGGGCAGCTCACAGTTTCCTGCAAGAGCAGCAAGTTTTTTTTTTTTTTGCCTTTTTTTTTGGCGGGGGGGGGATGTTATTTATTTTTTATTAACACAATGTATTTTGATCACATTCAGCTCTCTTCTTCCATCTCTTTTCAGATCCATCCCTATCTCCCTACCCATCCAACTTCATTCTCTCTGTCTCCCTCCCTCTCTCCCTCCCTCCCTCCCTTCCTCCTCCCCTCCCCTCCCTCCCTATTGAGTTCAATTGGTGTTTCTCAAATACTCTGGTGTGAGGCCAACCCTTGGGGTGAGGTCAACCTAACCTTTAAAGAAGGCATGTCAATTGCCAACAGCTGCAGAGATAGAGGTGGGGCTTCCAGCTCAACATCTCGACTCCATTCTGGGGTTTTGTTAGCTGGAGCTTGTGTAGGTTTTGTCCCTGCTGTCCCATCGCTGTGGGTTCGTGTGGCTAGCTGCCCTCATTCCTGGTAGTCATCCACCTCTTCTGACTTGTACAGTTTTTCTGTCTGCTATTTCTTTACCCCCCCCCCCCACTATACAATTATTTTATTGCTACTTCATAATTGTAATTTTGGTAGTGTTATCAATTGTAATGCAAGTATCTGATATATGACCTTAAAGGGATTGTGGCCCATGGGTAGAGAACCACTAAGATAGATTCAAAATCAAAAACCTTCTAAAATAAGAAATAAGAATCACTATTTATGATCCAATTTCTTGATGCCAATGTTGACATTCTAAAGCATTTTACCAGTTCATCTGCTTATATATTCAGTAAATGGTTATGAGCTTCCAGTCAGGAAAGTGCGCCGATCACTCAGACGTGGCTTCTGTTTTTAAAAACCATACTAGCAAATGAAAGGAAATAGAAAATATAAAGGAATCATACACTGCAATAAGATATAATTAAAAAGGTCAAACTTTATATCAGAGAACTTATTGCAAACCTAGTTGCATTTTAAATTTTTATAAATCAAAAATTCAGTTGGATTATTCAATGTTCCAACTATCCTAGACAAATGAAAACTCATGTTTGAAAATAAAATATAAACAAATATGAAACATTATTCTATGCTTAACTAGAATTTATTTTCAACATTTCTGATATTGCAGATAATCAATTCAAATTCAAGTGTAAATAATGTGTAACTGTAGACACGTGAGGCCAGAACATAGGTGATAGATACTTGTGTTGATGTGACCTTGTGTGTATCATGCATGTGTGCATGAATGTGCACAAGTAGGGATAAAATTGGTAAGCCTTCCAAACAAATTTGCTACAATCTGACTATACTAAAAGACAAACTAGAGATATCAGAGGATTAATTGAAAAAACCATGAGGAAATATATTCTTGAAGGGTAGCCAATCATAAAAAGTTAGCTCATTAGAGGCAAAACCTTAAGCCAACTAATCATGCATTTATTTTTGTAGCCTTTGACTTGGTGTTTTGTATTCATTTACTAATGTTTTGTGCTTATGTGGTGGAGGAAAGCCCTTGCATGGCATATCTGTGGTGGTCATATATTTGCTTGCAGTAAATATGTACATTTCTAGGCCAACTGTGTTCTTATTATATAATCTATTGTTTATATTGAAAATTACATTCAGGGACTAAATTGTCCTGTGGTAACTCAAACATAAACAAAGAATCTAAGTATCAGGATAAAGACTCTCCTTCCCAGTCTCATTTCTGTAGTTCATTAAAAATTAGAATAGCTTAAAAAATTAGAATAGCTTAAGAATATATAATTTTAGTAGAGGTATTACTTAGAAAATTTCAGTTTGTTATGGAAATAATTTTGTCTTGTTAGCATCATTACATTATTTTAAATCAATCCATATTTTAGGTCATGAACCTTGTAATTAAGAAGTTATTGAAGACAATGTCGAGTGTGGGCCAGGAGAAGATGTGATTAGAGTCTGGAGACGGCCCTGCGTGTGAGTATTTGTAAATAAGGTTTCCCCGGGCGAAACGCCACTAACAACTGAGATAGTAGTGCGCTTGTTACTAGACTGCAGAAACCTGGGTTCGTGTTTACAATCTAGCGCCCTGTGTTTTAAGGCGTGAGAATCATACAGTTTGGCCTGTTTGTCTTTTTGTATTTAGCTCATGATCCCAGGCCACAGAATTCTGCTCCCCACAGTTATTAACCCATCCAGTAGTTCCTCATAGCCATACCCAGAGGCTAACTTAAAACAATTATTTATTTATTTTACATCCAGGCTGCAGTTTTCCCCTCCCTCCTCTCTTCCCAGTTCTCCCCGCATCCCCCACCTCTGTTTTGACCCCCAATCCACTCCTCCTCCATTTCCTGTTAGGAAAGGGCAGGTCTCCCATGAGTATCAACAGAACAGGGCACGTCAAGTTGCAGTAAGCACCTTCTTATGTATTAAGGCTGGGCAAGGAGACCCTGTATGAGGAGTAGGGTCCCCAAAGCCTGTATATGAGTCAGGGAAGGCCCTGTTCCTACTGTTAGGTTTCCCGTCAGAGGACCAATCCACAAACTTGTGACCTACATGCAGAGTGCCTAGGTCAGCGCCTACTTGTGCTTTAATCCTCAGAGGCTGATTTAATGTGGATAATTCCTCACAGGTGTGCCTGGAGGGTTGTCTTCCTACTGATTCAAAACCTGTCCTTTGATAATTAGAATTAACATAAATTTAACCACAATTTTCTACAGTGAAGAATTAAAAATTGATCTTTCTCTCTCTCTCTCTCTCTCTCTCTCTCTCTCTCTCTCTCTCTCTCTCTCTTTGTTTTCCCTCCTCTACCCAGCTTCAGTTGTTGGGGATGAGAGACAGACAGATAGACNCTCTCTCTCTCTCTCTCTCTCTCTCTCTCTCTCTCTCTCTCTCTTTTTCTTCTCCTTCTTCTCCTCCCTCCTCCCCCTCCTCCCCTCCTTCTCCTTCTGATAGAGTTTCTCTGTGTAACAGTCCTGGCTATCCTGGAACTCACAGAGATCCACCTGCCTCTGCATCCCAAGTGAATCTCTTGGCTTGAAACTTCATTTTTATCTTGTTTGAATGTTAATTCTCAAGAAATTGACCTGGGAATAATTTACTTACTTAATTTAAAGTCAGGAAATTGCAGATAACGATGTATGTATAATAAAATATAAAAGATAATTGTGTAAAGCTGATTCTGTTTGTAGTTAAATAATTTTGTTCAAATTTTAGTAAAGGCAAGAAGCAAGATACTTTTTAATCACACAAAAATACTTATACAAAATATTTTATTATTTGTAAATCAAATTAAACTAGAATATATTTCACTAAGCTCTGTTACACTTTAAGCCATAACGTCCTCACTACTTGTATGACTACTAATCAAATCCTTAGGATTACTGTAGAATTATAACAGATAATTTTCTTTTGAAGTAATTATTGATTTCATGAGTATTGAATTTTATATCTTTCATTTTTGTTACAGTTTGAACATACAGCAAATTTCATTTGGACTCTAAGGATGGAGAAAAAGCATATACTATATTTTGTGTTTCTCTTGCCTGTTAGTATGGTAAGCATTCATCCCCACATATTTATCTCATTAGTTATGATTAGGTTTTACTTACAATATAGCTCCAAATGATAAAAGTTAATAAATACAAGTTAAGGTAGTTATTAGATGAGTACATTCATTTCATTTTTATATTCAAGTAATATAGCAATATTCCACTTCCTCATAGTATTTTTTATACTTTGAATTTTTATGACTAATATGAACTTTGGGGTCTTTGGAAGATTAGTGAATTCAAATGTGCAAAACTCCCGGTAAAGTGGCAAGTTTGGAAAATGGTGGGATGACATTTCATGATAGTACAGTTACACACAGCACAGAAAATACACTTAGAGAGACACATGGGTTCTGCTATTTGTTGGAAGAGAACCCACATTCTACTTTTTAACATTTTTTTTTGTTCCACCAATTGTTTGTCATCTAGGAGACATGTGCTGTATTCTGTATTCATTTACTCATTCATTGATGAAGTCGCTCATTCAAATAGCTCTTGCTGCTGAATTTGGGGCAAGCGTGTCTCCGTGTGCATGTGCACATGCATGTGCATCTCGACATATGTGTTAGAGCTGTGAAGCCAGAAGAGGATTAGCAAAGCCAAAAGAACTGCATGCCTCCAGGTTTCACTTCTTATTGATGTGTCTCTTTGTCTTGCCCTCTGCATCAAATTAAAGCAAGCCTTGTTGCTCTTCTTTATATGAGCAAGAAACCCAGAGACCCATATAATCTCATCGGATTCTGTGACAGCAAAGAATTTTCCTCTGGTGTTCCCAAGCAAAGCCCTCAAAAGCATTCAGACAAAGGAATTAAAAAAAAAAAGTACTGAAAACTTCAATGAGCACACAAAGCAATATTTTGTTTCTGTGAGTCTGCACACTGGAAAATATCCTCAAGTCTAGAAGTAGTCTAGTGTCTGCACTTATGAGATGTTATCTTGGGTGGCTGACTAGACTTCAAAGGACAGAACTGTTTCTTCCACTAACACCCTCAGTTAAGTGTGCCAACAAGCTACATGGGCCAACTTGAGTTCTCTGCAGGCAATACTGTAGATATTACCGATCAGGATAGTGTAATATAAAGAACTCTGACCCTTTCCCATGGACAGTGTGTACATATATTTGAAATTATTATTACTTTTCTTGATTTTTACAATCGTTTTCAGAAAAATGTTTTTATGTGTTTTGTTTTTCTAATTCTGTCTTGGAAAAGAATGTAGTTCAATCTACAGTGCTTGCTTAGCTTACATGAGATGCTAGGTTCAACCCCCAACACTAAAAAATAAAACCATATGACTTAAAATTGTCTTGATGTTCTAGAATTTCATCGATTACTCCCCAGGGTAACTACTGTATAAATCTCTAATCAGGAAACTCAAACCTGCAGAAGACAATTGTTAACATTAGTGCTCATCAGGCAATATGATGCCATCCAGTGAGAAAATTATTACTTTGACATTACAAGTGCACAAAACTGGATGATTTCCCATGTCATCGGTCCTCCCTGATATCTGGATGCTATTTTCTACTGTTTTACAATATGAAAGAGAGTCTTGCTAGTAGTGATGGATACCTTACCAACATTCACAGAACAAGTAAAAACTCTCGGGGGCTATAAACATAGTTGTTGGCATTTCAGAACAAGTATTCAGGCTGTGCTGTAGTCCGCTAGCTACCATAGACATGGGCGAGTCAATGGTGCTTCTCAGTGCTGGCGTTGGCATCGCCCTGAAGGCTGATTGAAACTGGACAACACAGTAAGAGTTTAGACTACAGAAACTGGCGAACGCTACACACTGGGGGCTTTCCTCTTGAGAGCCATTTAGCAATCAGGCGCCTCTCTGCTCTTACTGTTTTCCACCAGGTCTCTGATAAAGATTTCCACCATTCTAAAGCCATTGTTGTTTTCCTTCCTTAGACTCTTGTCATGGCACAGGCAGAAGAAGAAGGCTTTAACCAAACGGGGCTGGGAGTCACTAGAAACAAGATCATGACGGCTCAATATGAATGCTACCAAAAGATTATGCAAGATCCTATTCAACAGGCAGAAGGTAGACACTGCTAATTCTAGATGCACTTAACACATATTTAAAAGAACTAGCTATGTGGGTTCTTTTCATCCAGTAATTAAAAGTTAACTAGTTACTTATTTTCTAGCTCATGTACAAGTTTCTTGATGCATTTGTGAAGTGTGTTTATGACATGATTCAACTCACTCCTTTTATTGAAATTCAACAAAGTGCTTCCTACACAGAATTTTCCAGAATTATCCTTTAGAAGGTGTAAAAATATAAAAAAATATTAGTAGGCATTAATATTAAAACAAGACAGTGCACTTTGGAATTTGAAAAGACACACTGAAAATAGCCGGGCGGTGGTGACACATGCCTTTAATCCCAGCACTCAGCAGGCAGTGGCAGAGGCAGGGGACTCTCTAGGAGTTTGAGGCCAACCTGGTCGACTGAGTTCCAGGACAGCTTGAGCTGTTACACAGAGAAATCCTGTCTCGGGGGTGGAGTGGGGGGAGGAATGCATTTTCTAAAACATAATATACTTCACTTTTCCCTTAACAAAATTAAGTACAGAGACACTAATTAATAACTGTCTCATGGTTAGAATAAAAGATAGCCTGATTTATAGAACAACAATTGCTTGGAAGAAATTGAATTGGCCCTAATGTTCTTGCAGGGTCATTTCTAAATCTGGTTTGGATATTATTATTAATAATTCTTAATAGTTATTGTAATGCTTGCCTAGCGACAAAAATCCAGCAATTGTGGGTTTTATGCATCTTCGTTTCCAGCAGACTTCTTTACACTGAGAAACCTTCCTTAAGTTTGCTTTCGTGGTCAGCTGCAGAGACTTAGTGCCCTTTGTTTCCGTGTCCCCTCCAAGGCCTTTACTGCAACAGAACCTGGGATGGCTGGCTGTGCTGGAATGACGTGGCGGCAGGAACCGAGTCCATGCAGTACTGCCCTGACTACTTTCAGGACTTCGATCCTTCAGGTGGATGCTGGAATCTAATCGCATATCTTATTGAAATCTGTTCAGTGAACGTTGTGTTTATTAATGCATTTGGAGCCTATCGCAAAAGTAGTGTAGAAAGATTTGTAGTCTATAACTATCTTGATTTTAGCTTTCTATCTGAATTCATTTAACCAAAGAAAAAATTTGAATAGAAACTGTAGGTTTATTAAACTCTTTTTAAAATTTTTTCCTTTTTGTTATTAAAGAAAAGGTTACAAAGATCTGTGACCAAGATGGAAACTGGTTTAGACATCCGGATAGTAACAGAACATGGACAAATTACACTCTGTGTAACAACAGCACGCATGAAAAAGTGAAGGTATGTAGCAGTCATGAGCTGAAGTCTGGTTCAGACTTTAAAACAGCTCCCTAAGCACTGGGGAAAGTAGTTGATGTTCCATTCCGCACTAAAACCATTTCCTGGTATCATTTGAGAAGAACAATGGAAAAAAAAATCTGTGGAAAAGCTGCTTTTAATTCAGACATTGTACAGGGGAAATAGTTCTGTTACGTAACTGTGTATTTACAAGTCAATGTCTCAGTATAAGGGTTTCAGATTTTCCAGAGAAAATATAACTTAAAAGTGTAATACAAGGGGAAACTTTAATTTCTAGTGGAATTCTAGAATTATTCCAGAAACTGTCCGTAGGCAAACAGGATAAGCTTAGTGGGTTCGAAACCTCCACCTGTCCCTCAGTAGAAGGCACCCATACTAACTGGCTGTGCAAGACACTTTCATTCCTGTTCCTGCTATGACACTTAGAATTAAAGTCACAGTTAAGGACATTACTCAGAGTAAAGCTTGACTGAAATACTTTCATGTAGTTTCAGTTTGTGTATGATTAAAAGTGAGAACTTTGATATGAGCCTCCTGTTTTGGCACTTTGTCTGCTCCATGGCCATGGCAAGACACCCCTGGTGTGCTCACCAGGACAAGTGCACTTTCTTCAGTGGGTCTCGGAAGGCCATTGGGGTGTAATCCCTCAATAATTGCATGGTGTCACTGTATTCATGTATCACGTATGCGCTGCCTATTCAGAGATGTTTAAGTTAACAAACCCAAACCCAAACCCAAGCCAGCTGACCACCCACCCACCTAACCACAAAATCAACCACCCACCTACTCACCCACCCACCCAACCAGCCAACCAACCAATCAAACAACCATCCAAGCAGCTAGCCAACCAACCAACCAACCAACCAACCAACCAACCAACCAACCAACCAACCAAGTCAAACAACCACCCACCCACCTACCCACTCATCAAACCAACCAACCAACCAACCAACCAACCAACCAACCAACCAACCAACAAGTCAGTCAACCAACCAGCCAGCCAAACAACCAACCAGCCAGTCAACCAACCAATAAACCAACAAACCAAGCATTCACCCACCTACCCACTCATCAAACCCACCAACCAACCAACCAACCAACCAACCAACCAACCAACCAACCAATCATCCAACTGACCAAATCTCTAAAAATATTAAAAGTAAATTGAAAAACAAAGAAGATTAGAACTGAGAGTGATAAAACCCATTTCTATAGATCAAAGGATCTTTTAACTTTCCATATTAAGATGTCTCTGAGCCTCAGATTCACGGGAAGAAACAGACACACTCAATAGGTAAAGAAAGCCTTATCAGGCATTTAATTCTGCCCAAATTAAACCTTGAGTATCACTTGATTTTTAAATATAAAATGCAGATTTTGTGTATAGTATAAACTAGATCAGTAAATGCATTACTTCAAAGATTTAATATGTGACTTCTGATTTCTTAAAAAGGAGCATGACTTATAAGTATTTGATAACTCACTTGGCATATATTTGAATAGATATACTTCATTTACATGTTTTCAAGTATTTTTGATTTTTCAAACAAGCGATTATAAATCTATCAACATGTTTTTTAAAATAAAATTTATTAAATTGTATCTTATCTAATACACAAGTAGATTTTAGATAAAGAATTAATTCTATTTTTTAAATCACACAATTACAGACTGCACTGAATTTATTCTACCTAACTATAATTGGACATGGATTATCTATTGCATCCCTGCTCATCTCTCTCATCATATTTTTTTATTTCAAGTAAGTATATTTAATTTTTAAAAAAATTTTAAAACTGATAAATTAAGATTATGTATGTATTGAACTCATGTTCATGAGGAAGACTGGTCTGCAATTCTCTTTCTTAGTAATGTCTTTGTATGGTTTGAGTATCAGGGTAATTGTTGCCTCATAAAAAGAGTTTGACAATGTTCCTTCTATTTCTATTGTGTGGAAATATTGGTATTAGTTCTTCCTTAAAAATCTAGAATTCTGTGCTAAAAACATCTGGTCCAGGGCTTTTATTTCTTTTTTTTCTTTTTTTTTGGTTGGGAGACTTTTGATGACTGTTTCTATTTATTTAGCAGTTAGAGGTCTATTTAATTTGCTTATCTGGTCTTGATTTAATTTTGGTAAATGATATTTATCCAGAAAATTGTCCATTTCCTTTAAGTTTTCCAATTTTGTGGAGTGTGAGTTTTTGAAGTATGACCTGATGATTCCCTGGATTTCCTCCATGTCTGTTGTTATGTCCCCCTTTTCTTTTCTGATTTTGTTAATTAGTCTCTCTGCCTTTTGGTTAGTTTTAATAACAGTTTGTAGTCAGAGACTATAGCATGAGGGTCTGCTTTTTGGGGTTTCTGTCCTGCTCAGTTCCCACTGCCGTTAAGCCCCAAAGAAATCACATAGAGAAGTCTATATTAATAATAAACTGATTGACCCATTAGCTCAGGCTTCTTAACTCTGTAACTTATATTAACCCATTGTTCTTATCTATGTTAGTGACATGGCTCGGTACCTTTTTTAGTGGGGCAGGTCACATCCTGCTTCTTTGGTGTCTGGACAGGACTGGGGAGCAATGGGCTTCCTTCTTCCCAGAATTCTCCTATTCTCTTTGACCTGCCTCTACTTGCTGTCTGATTGTCCTGCCTATACTTCCTGCCTGGCTACTGACCAATCAGTGTTTATTTAAAACATAATTGACAGACTACATAATTGTCCCACACCAAGAGACTGCTCATTCATTTCCCGGTTGCCCAGACCCAAATAAGAACACAAAAACTATATTAATTACAATACTGTTTGGCCAATTGATTAGGTTTCTTATGAACTAACTCTTATATCTTAAATTAACCCATAATTCTTGTCTGTGTTAGTCCTGTGGCTTAGTAACTTTTATCAGTGAGGCATTCTCATCTTGCTTTTTCTGTGTCTGGGTGATGACTGCAGACTGAGCCTTTCCTCTTCCCAGAATTCTCCTATTCTGGTCACCCCATCTATACTTCCTGCATGCCTACTGGCCAGTCAACGTTTTATTAAACCACTGTGTAATCATTGCTGGCCTGAACCCGTGTGTGTAGACTAGACTACTTTCCAACTCACAGGGATCTGTCTACCTCTGCCTCCCAAGTGCTGGCATTAAAGGTGTGTGCCACCACTGCCTAGCTGCTATTCTAGCGGCTTTAAGATCAGCTTTCTTTATTTGCCTGAAGATAATCTTTAAAAATTTATATCAAGTACAGGCCTCACTTGTCATTCTCTGCTTAAAAATTTAGATTGCTTTTTGCTGTACCTCATGTAAACACAAAACTATGAATGAGTCCTGCCTATCACCGTCTCTGCCTCTCTAGCTTGGTTAAATGTTTCATATCTGGGAACTGCACTTGATCATTTCTTCAGGAGACTCTCTCTGAATTCTTTACTGGAGCTGTAACCTATTTACAGTAGACACAAAGTAAAAATTTGAAAGCATTTGAGAGACAACGATCTCTTTAAATTAAAAACCATCCCAGCTGAGACTCTTCAGATGAAACTGTCTCTTTTTTCATGTAATACGCCAAAACATCCCAGAACATTAAATTTCTGAAGGCGATAAAGTTAATGGCAATTATATTGCATTCCAAAACCAGCAGTAAGAAAGAAAACAATGGTCTCCTGGCATTTTACGTCATATGCCTTCATGCAATTCTGATTTAGCAAACATGTCAGTAAAATATCCACCAAGTGAGAATCAAAATTAATACTACTTCCTCATGTGAAAAAATCTAAGAGCTGATAAAATGCTCACTGGGCTTATGAGGCAAGTGGGGCTGCCAAGGCAAACAATACTGAAGCCAAACTGGACCAGGAAAAATAGAGCATCAGTCTAAATCTCTGTCAGACTGCTCATTCATTCAGTTCTCAAAGGAGAAAACACTTTCATAATAAACGGGTTATCAAGGAGGTTGAGAAGTTAAAGCAAACAATATCTATTTTGATTATATCATTAAAGTACAAAGAACGTTAAGTCATAAAGGATTAAGATTCATAGCAATAGGGGGCTGGAGAGATGGCTCAGTGGTTAAGAGCATTGCCTGCTCCTCCAAAGGTCCTGAGTTCAATTCCCAGCAACCATATGGTGGCTCACAACCATCTATAATGAGATCTGGTGCCCTCTTCTAGCATACAAACATACATGGAAAGAATGTTGTATACATAATAAATAAATAAATCTTTAAAAAAAAGATTCATAGCAATAGAAGCATAATAACCTCATGAGTATAAATAGCTATAATTAGGAATAGAGTTTGTACAGTAACGAAGAGGAGATACCATATGGCTTAATTTGAAAACCTCTTAATAGGTGAACGAAGTATAGTGAACATCTCTGGTTATCAGTAGACCTCATTGTCACTCAAAGTTCTCAAAGAGAAATTGTTCACTAATCTATCAAGAATGTTGACATGGTTGGTCAGAGAAATGGTTCAGTCAGTAATGTGCTCTGTCTGGAAGCATGAGGACTTGAGTTTGAATCTTCAGCATCCATGGTCTAAGCTGGGAGCAGGAAACTGCTGTCTGGAATTCCATTGCTGGGAAGGTGGAGAAAGAAGGGCCCTATGGTTCTGCTGGTCAGCCAGCCTAGCCAACTTGGCAAACTCCATGTTCAGTGGATCATACTATTTAAAAAAATAATTGAAAGAGTGGTTGAGGAAGATGTCTGGTGTCAACTGGTGGCCTCTACATGCATACACACGTGTGCATGTTTCCACACGTGTACAACGAGCTGAACACACTTATACACACAAAGGAATATTAGATAGTCAGCTGTCCCTATTTTGGGTTTATAGCTGGGCTTGAAGGCTTATAATGTTTTTTCAAAGCCTAAGACTCGATGAATGGAGAAGTAATTTGAATTAGAATGAGTTATCTTTAGTCATATGTAACGTCAAAGAAACTGGTACTTTTGTGTGCAAAAGAAATTTACGTAGGTAAATAGTCATTGAGACAAATTATTTCCTAACATTTTTACTCTTAAAAATAATCATATAGTGCCACACAAATGAAATCTTCTTAAAGCAGATGAATTGCTTGCCAATTTAGGAAATTTGGCTCTTGGCCTCTACAAAAAATATTAAAAGACTGAAAATAGTTTCTTTGCATATACCTAATGTTTATACTAAAATTACAATGAGCTGTTTATTATACTGAACTTTATAAAAGAAAGCATCACACATTTTTTAATTGTGAGTTAGTATGACAGGCACACATTTGGATCTGAAAATAATTTTAACAAATGAGGCATATTTTAATCTTGATATCAATACTTATTCATAGTGTGTACTTCGCCTAATTCTGGTTATAAGCAAGCTCAATGTTTTCTTTTTCTAAAGTGAGCCGTCATGTTTTCAGTAGACTGTAGTATAATCACACACACATCTCCTCATCCTGGATTGGGATCCTTGACAAAGTACAGATGCCACTAGAGCCCAACTTGCCGAGACAATGAGTCTTTTTGGGGGTTACTTAGATGAAAATGGGGGAGGAGAAACTGGAGCAGCAATGACTCCTAGAGAGAAGCATCCTCAAGGCCTGCCCAATCTGGGAACCTGTAACACCTGGCACAGCCTACAAGTTGCTCAACAGGCTGGAGATTTCCTTTCCAGGTGCCTCATTTGGTCTAAACGTTTTCCGGGTTGTTTGGGCTGGTTTCTGCTCTTTCCCAGCAACTGGGGTGCTCCCATAGCCCTCTTTTCTGCTCCTCTTCTCTGTATTTTGACGTCAACTAGTCTGGGAGAAGCTCTAGTTTATTGCTTCCTCAGTCATGGAGGGACTTAGTGAATGCGGTCAGTTTCAGGGACTTCCTACTGTTGTTTTGAGTTGTTTATCTTTTTGCTTCAGGAGCTTCCCTCTGGAGGGAATGTTTCAAGTCTTGCTGGAAACTTTTGCACATCATACAGTCACACAATATCTAGCGTTTATGAACTTCTCAGAAAGTGATGAGTTACCGTTCACTGGGGAAGATTGGCTAGCTAAATTTGTGTAGCTACCCAGCATCATCCCCATGTCACAGTCAAACAGTTTTTAAAAGTATTAGTGTAAATCTCTAAAGAATGGTAGGAACACGAAGGAAGACTCATCTGACTCATGAGTCAGAGATTTGTGATATGATAGTGTCATTGAACGTTTTTTTTATTAACAGAAGAATTTCATTAGAAATTATAGACAAGAAGCCATAAAAATACTATCTGGGCTAATTTTTAAACTTTCCTCATTTCCCAGTAAAGAGCTAACTTTCCCAGGTTTTTCTCAATCTATAATCTTTCTGTTTGACTTAGCTCTTTTCTTTGACTTGAATATTCTTGAATTATAGATAGCTCGAACAGAAAGAAACAAAACTACAAACCATTTTTTTTTTGTTATTATCCAAGCCTGAAGTGAAATACAGCAGATGCTCTCATCAGAACTCATGGCATTTCAGAGTACCTTTGACTGTTCTAGAGTTTGCTCGGTAGACCAGGCTGATCTCAAACCCACAGAGATCCTCCTGCTTCTGCCTCTCAAGTGCTGTGATTAAAGGCGTGTGCCACTACCGCCTGGCTTTCAAATACCTTTTATATGTGTAGTCACCATTACAGAGATGTATCAGGGCATGGTGCTATTTCTCATGCAATTTCTCATGCTTGCTGTGCAGATGACAGTACCACCTACACGGCCGCTTTGTGATTAGTGCTGTTAGAGTAGCAGTATTGTCACCGAGATGCAGCGCTGAGCAGTCTCTTATT